CCGCCCCCACTCCCTGCAGGCGAGGAGGGGTCGATGGAGGAGTCCCAGGGCCTGGACGCCCTCATGACTCATGGGTCTGCGGGGGGGGCCTACCTCATGGTGGTGGCCCAGGAGCAGCGGGGGGGCGGCGCACAAGAGGACGAGGAGGGGGTCGCCGTGGAGGCGGGGGCAGAGGGGGCCTCGTGGGCGGCACGCTCAAGCGGGGCCAGAAGAGTGGGGCCCGAGGGGGGCGCGGCCGCGGCGGGGCCGGCGTCGCGGGCGGTGGGCGTGGTGGCCGTGGACGCGGCCAGCGGGGACGTGGTGTGGGGCGTCACGAGCGCGGGGCTGGTGCAGAGCGGCCTGGAGGCGGCGCTGCTGTCGCTGGCGCCGTCAGAGGTGGTGGCGCTGGAGCCCCTGGGCCACGACACGGCGCGGCTGCTGGAGCGCTTCGCGGGGCGCGGGCCCGGAGCGGCCGGCGGCGGCGGCAGCGGCGGCGGCGGCGGCGGCGGTACGGGACAGTGCGGGCGCGTATCGCGGCTGGTGCGGTTGCCGGGGGGTGCGTACCTCTCCAACGCGGCCCTGGCGCGGCTCAGCGAGTTCTACGCGCCGTCAGGCGACGGCGGCGGCGGCAGCGGCAGCGATGACGGCGGCAGCGGCGCGGACGGTGTGCGTGGGGGTGGCGAGGGCAACAGCGGGCCAGGGGCGGAACCAACTGGCACGACGACGGCGGCGGCAGCTGTGGCGGACGGCGGCGGCGGCGGGTCTGGCGGTGGTGTCGGCGGTGGGGGCGCGCTGGACTTTGTGCTGTCCCTGCCTCCGCTGGTGCTGCAGGCCCTGTCTGCCGCGGTGGAGTACCTCCAGGGCTTTGGGCTGGCGGGCGTGCTGCGCGAGACGTCGGGGTTCCGGCCGCTGGCGGGGGCGCAGGGCCTGGTGCTGTCCAGCAACGCGCTGCGCCAGCTGGAGCTGCTGGCCACGAGTGAGACGGAGGACGGCCGGCGGGCGCAATAGGGTGGGGGATAAGTCCGGGTGTGAGCACCTGTTCATCAGGATGTTCCTTGTGAATGACTTACTTGTCCCTTCGGAACCAGTGTCGCGGAGGCCGGCGTGCCGCGCACCCGTCCTCCACAGCAAGCCGCGGGACTGGCACGGCTGTGTTGGCGTCCCTACTCCACGTGCTGCTGACACCCCCGCTCACAAACCTCCCCATGATCCCCTTTGCCCAGCTGGGGGTGCCTACAAGGGCTCCCTGCTGCACCTCCTGGACCGCACCGCCACCGCCTTTGGCTCCCGGCTGCTGCGCCGCTGGGTGGCGGCCCCCCTGGCTGACCGCGGCCTCATAGAACAGCGCCTCGACGCGGCACAGGTGGGGGCCACGCCTGGCCGAGGCAGCCGGGGTTTTGGGGGCCGAGGTAGGAGGCGGGCGGTGGGACTTGACGCGCCCCAGGGTGGAGCTTTGAAAAGAGGTTGCTCTGCAGGGTGCTGTGCTTGGGGCTGAGCAGCGGAGGCTCCACCCTGCGCACCCACCAATTTGTGTCTTTTGAGGGCTGTCTCCTGTCAGGCCCCACCACTCAATAATCAATTGCAACATAAACACGCTCAGACAAGTGATCAGTTGAAACAGCCCGCGCGGCGTGGCCCCGTCCCCCCACCCAAACCCCCAGGAGCTGCTGGCCGCGGCGTCGCCCGCACTGGCGGCGCTGCCCTCTGAGCTGCGCCGCCTGCCAGACCTGGAGCGCGCCTTCACGCGCTGCGCCCACGGCAACGCCTCGCCGGCAGAGGCCGTGGCCGCGCTCAAGGCGCTGCAGCAGGCGCGTGATGGGGCCCCGGCCTCAGGGTGGCGGGGAGGGGCGGTCCGCCCTCGCAACGCCACCACTTTGGGCCGCTGCGTCCGCCCTCGAGGCTGCGGGACGCAATCAGGAGCGTGCAGCCGGGGCCGTGCGCAGCGGCGGCAGCGGGAGGCCCCCATGCCACAAGCAAATTATGCCACCGCCCTGGCTCCCCAGCCCTTGATCTTATTCCAGCGTGACACGCCCACCCACCACTCACCCTTTGCCGTACCCCACTCAAGCAGCTGCCCGAGCGCCTGGGGATTCGCATCGCACAGCCGGCACCTGCAGCAGCAGGCACCGCCGCGGCGCAGGACGCCGCGCGCTCGGCCGCCGAGGCGGCGTCCTGCGCCGCGGCGTCCGCGCCGCTGCTGCAGCGGCTGCTGGCAGAGGCGTGCTCCCCGGTCGCGGGCGGCGCGGCGGCCGCGGCGCTGGCCGTGCTCAACGAGCGGGCGGCGCGCGGCAACGACTTTTTGGCGCTCTTCAGCAGCCGGGAGCGCTTCCCCGAGGTGAGGCCACTGCGCGGCGCGGGTGGCGGCTGGTGGCTGCGCGTGAGGGGGACACGTGAGTCTTGCTCTCCCAGCTGGGCGGCCACCCTGGCCCCTCGCGTGCTGAAGGCAGCGCACAGGCACCCCAGCGGCGTGGAGGCAGACGCGGCCACCCTTGGCCCCGCGCCCCCCCAGGTGTTTGAGCGCGCCGAGGCGGTGGCGGCCGCTGAGTCGCACCTCCAGGGTCTGCTGCCCCAGCTGGCGCGCGCGGCGGGTGTCCCCCCTTCCAGGATGGCCTACGTCAGCGTCATGAACCAGGCGAGCGCTGCTGCCTTGGGGCTGGGGGGCTGGGGGACAAGATGGGCAGGGGCGGCCAGAGGGGGGCAGGGGCTTGAGGGTGTCCGGCGCAGGCGCCAGAGTTCTCGGTGAGGAACAGGCCATGCCGCCGCTAACACACCCTCCGCTGGGAGTGAGACCAAACGCACAAGATGCACGCGGTTGGCCATGAGTATCTCGTGCTGCCCTGCCCTTCTCACATGCATCTCACGCCGTCTTGCCCCGGCCCCAGGGGGACTACCTGATTGAGCTGCCGGCCAGCAGGGACAGCGTGCCACAGGGCTGGGAGAAGGTCTGCTCCACAAAAAAGGTGGCCGGCACAGCATGACCACGCAGCACATCTTGCCGGGCCGCGTGCCGATGCAATCTTGGGAGCCCCCCCCCTCCCACCCCGTTTTGTGTGTGGGGGGGGAAGGGTGAGGGGCGGGGCGATGCAGTGGGGACAGTGCGATGGGTATGACAACTAAATTTCAGGGGGAGTGGCCGTACCATCGGGCCACCACTGTGTCCTGGGATAAGGGCCAACTGTTGCTGTGGGTCACGGCCCCGCAGGTGTCGCGCTGGCACCCCCCAGAGGTCCGCGCTGGCATGTCGCGGCTGGCAGTGGCGCGTGAGACACACAGGGCGGCCTGCAGCGCAGCCTGGGCCTCGTTCCTGCGCGGTGAGGTTGTGGGGGAGCAAGGGGAACGGGCCAGAAGGGGGGGGGCGTGACGCGTTGGACTCTGGCCAGGGGCGTGGCGTGGGTCATGGGAGCCGGTGGTGGCGTTGATGTGTGCTACCCAGGCCCCGCAAGCCGACCAGGGTGGTGCAAGCCCCCCACACGGCTGCCAGGGGCCGTCGCGTGAACGCAGCGCATCGCAACAGCTCGCCCGCCAACCCCAGCGGCCCGCGCCCCCTTCTCCCTACACGCGTCACCACCGCCACCACTACCACACCAACCCTCTCTGGCGCCCAGAGTTTGCGCGCCGCCACCACCCGGCGTGCCGCGCCGCCGTGGCGGCCCTGGCGCACCTGGACGCGCTCTGCGCCCTGGCGGCGGTGGCGGCCTCTCCCGGCTACTGCCGCCCCGCGTTGGCCGAGGAGGGCGCGGCGCCGCGGCTGGTGGTGCGTGGGGGCCGCCACCCGACCCTGGACCTGGCGCTGGAGGGGGGGGCCGTGCCCAACAGCCTCGAGCTGAGATGGGACGGCGTCAGGGGGGCCGTGGTGACGGGTGCGTGGGGCGCTGTGCCGGCACCTGCTGCCGCCTCCTTTGCTGCTCTGGGCATTTGAGGAGGTTTGGGTTTTGAGGCTGGCCATGGAACTGCGGCTGCTCTAGGCTAGTCACCCTGGCACGCTGGGCCTGTGTTGTTGAACCGTACCTTGCATGGTGCTGGCCGCGTCACCCTTTGCGCCACGCTCGTGCGCAGGGTACCCAGCATGCTTTCTGAAAAGTGTGTTATAATCAATTGTACCCAAGGCAGCGTAGTGTGCAGCACCAGTGCAGTGCAAAGCGTCAAAACACTCTGCAACAGCCCCCCACCCCCCAAATAG